TGTTGTACCTTGGTGTGTGTGTGTGTTGTGTGTTGTACCTTGGTGTGTGTGTTGGTGTGTGTTGTACCTTGTGTGTGTGTGTGTGTGTTGTACCTTTGTGTGTGTGTGTGTGTGTGTGTTGTACCTTGGTGTGTGTGTGTGTGTGTGTGTGTGTGTGTGTGTGTTGTACCTTGGTGTGTGTTGGTGTGTGTTGTACCTTGGGTGTGTGTGTTGGGCGTGTCCAGAGAGAAGGAGGCCTTGGTGGCTTCAGGATAGGCCCCGGCCTTGTACAGAGACTGGGCGTAGTACAGTCTGTATTCCTCCACCTCCGGGTGCAGTGCGGTCAGCTGCTCGTAGCACTCGGCCGCGCTGGAGAAGTCCTGGAGGTGGTAGTAGCAGTATCCCAACAGAGACAGCGCCGCACGGGACTGCACCAGTTTCAAATATATCAGAAACATGTTTGAGAGGGCAATACGATCGTTCAAATCCAGTGTTGGGAAGGTTACTTTTAAAATGTATTCCCCTACAGATTACAGATTACATACCCCAAAATGTAGTTTGTAACGGAATCCATGAAATTACTTAAAGTGAGTAACGTAATCTGAATACTTTGGATTACTTGAGTTTCTGTAGAGAAGCAAAGACGAGGATACCGTAACATAAGATGTTTTATGTGCTAAAAGAAAATAAAAAGCCCAGACTTTACTTAACCGTATTAAAAATATTATTGATAGAAGACGAGGAGACACGTCCATGCAGCATGGTTTAGTTCTGTTTTAGTCCTGTTTTAGTCCTGTTTTAGTCCTGGTTTAGATCTAGTTCAGCTCTAGTTTAGACCTGGTTTTAGTCCTGGTTTAGTCCTGGTTTTAGACCTGATTTTAGACCTGGTTTTAGACCTGATTTAGACCTGGTTTAGATTTAGTTTATCTCTAGTTTAGACCTGGTTTAGTCCTGGTTTAGTCTTGGTTTAGACCTGGTTTAGACCTGGTTTAGACCTGGTTTAGACCTGGTGGTTTAGACCTGGTTTAGACCTGGTTTAGACCTGGTTTAGTCCTGGTTTTAGTCCTGGTTTAATCCTGGTTTTCCTAGTTTAGACCTGGTTTAGACCTGGTTTTAGACCTGGTTTTAGACCTGGTTTGATCAAGTTTTTCTTTAGTTTAGACATGGTTTTAGTCCTGGTTTAATCCTGGTTTAGTCCTAGTTTAGACCTGGTTTTAGACCTGGTTTAGACCTGGTTTTAGACCTGGTTTAGACCTAGTTTTGACCTGGTTTAGATCAAGTTTATCTTTAGTTTAGACCTGGTTTTAGTCCTGGTTTAATCCTGGTTTAGATCTAGTTTAGACCTGGTTTTAGTCCTGTTTTAGTCCTGGTTTAGTTTCCGGCAATGAGTGAAATTACCGAAAGGAAAAAAAAAAAAGAAAAAAGAAGGGGGGATATAGCCCAAAATGTGAAAACAGGAAAACAGGAAAATACCGCCATCTAATCCATTTATTTCAACAAAGTAACTGTAATCCAATTACCACTCACTGAAACAGTAACTGTAACCAAATACAGTTACTCATAATTTGTACTCTAATTATGTAACTCCGGTACATGTAATCTGTTACTCCCCAACACTGTTCAAATCTAGTCGTGACCTCATTCCTGTGACGATCTGTTTTGGAAATATCGGTAAACAACGATGTTCACTGTTTCTCACTGTAATGCCACTGTCTGCTCAAACATAAGCCCTTTATCCAACCCCCTTCTCCAACAGGCTCTAGTCACGCTTACGTCACAAACCAGGAAGACATTTGGAAACATGCGATGACAACTTCCAGCGGGCTCTGTTCACAGCAACAAGTCTGACAAAATCAAGGAAAACTTTAAAGATGTCCCAGTTTTCTTAATCTCTGTGTCATTGTAACGTTCCGTGATGTTCGGCTCATCAACGATTCCAACCATACCTCAGTTTTCATCATTTCCCCACTGACACACAACTCCAAGAGCACTGGGTACATGCGATTAGAAGAGATGACGTGCCAAATTCCAGATGATTCCAAACAGGGGATACGTCTGCAGTCTTCATTTTACTTCAGTGGGTTTGATCACAGTCGGTCCAAGGGTTTCGAAATGGCCGTTCATTCAAGTCAATGGGCTGAGCTCAATGCCGCATGATCCCAGATTAGCTTTTAGCCCGGCGAGGTACTTCCGGTGGCTGTGCAGTAGTGCTCTTTTTTCCTGCGGGCACACACGAATGCACGTACACACACATACGGAGCGCGGTCTCCTGTATCACGTGATCGCCAGTCGAAGCGAGATGAGCTAGAGCGGAGCAGAGCGGAGCAGATGCGTTTTTAAGACAACTGAAGGATTTTTGAGCAAAAAGTTTATAATCTAAAAATCAAAAATCATAACAGCTCAAAACTTGTGATTAGATCGGGCTCTATGACAAAAATCTTGTCTCGGCCCATGGGATTTTTTCTGCTGTAGTTCCAGTGAGTGTCACTACATCAACTGGAGGCAGCTACAAGCAGCAATACCCTATCCAGTTATTTTAATAGATCCATGAGTCAGTCGGCGAGCCCAGTCTCGAGAACTACACCGGAAGTTGTCATTGCATGTTTCCAAACGTCTTCCTGGTCCATTACGTAAGCGTGACTCGAGCCTGTTGGTTAACCTCTGTAATGAATGAGTGACAGCTTCACCAGTCACAGTCAGGTGTGAACTTCCAGAAGAAGAAAATGACTTTATTTACCCTTCAAAAGGCCAAAGAAAAAAGAGTACAAGAATCGTGATAAAATCTAAATCTGGCTCCAGTAACATTTTTGCCATATCTCCCTCCCCTAGCGCTAAGCTATTCAGTCCTGATTTAGATTAAGCAAATTTTTACTGGACTTCAGACATGGTTCAGATTTGTTGGAAAAAGCCTGACGCTCTGGATTGGTACACCAGATAAGTTTTAATTTTATTTCTTTGCTTTAGTCTTACAATTCTCAAAAAAAACAACAGCTTCTTAACCCTCTGTGTAGTGTGCATGATGATGAATGCAGACATTTTCTGCTATTTTTACACAATTTGTAACCTTGGTAATTGTATACACTTTTATAAAATCAATGAATCAGGTGCATATAACTACTACATGAGCAGATATGTCACTCAAACCTATTAGATTAGATATAAACAGTGAAGTACACACAGTGTTGGGAAGGTGACTTTTAAAATGTATTCCCCTACAGATTACAGATTACATACCCCAAAATGTAGTTTGTAACGGAATCCATTCAATTACTTAAGGTGAGAAATGTAATCTGAATACTTTGGATTACTTGATTAGCTGTAAAGCAGCAAAGATGAGAATATCTTCACATGTTCAGACGTTTTATCTGCCAAAAGACAATAAAAAGCAAAGTCTTTACTTAACCGTATTAAAAATATTATTGATAGAAGAGGAGGAGACACGGTCTGCACAGCATGGTTTAGTCCTGTTAAATCCTGTTTTAATCCTGGTTTAGATCTGGTTTAGATCTAGTTTAGACCTGGTTTAGATTTTGTTTAGACTTGGTTTAGATCTAATTTAGACTTGGTTTAGATCGAGTTTAGACCTGGTTTTAGCCCCAATTTAGATCTAGTTTAGACTGGTTTAGACCTGATTTTAGCCCTGGTTTAGACCTGGTTTTAGTCCTGGTTTAGACCTGGGTTCAATCCTGGTTCAATCCTGATTTAGTCCTGGTTTAGTGTCCGGCAATGAGTGGAATTACAAAAAAAAAAAAAAAAAAAAAAAAGCCCAAAATGTGAAAACAGGAAAATACCGTCGTGCAATCCATTTACCATTTATTTCAACAAAGTAACTGTAATCCAATTACCACTCACTGAAACAGTAACTGTAACTGAATACAGTTACTCATAATTTGTACTCTGATTATGTAACTCCGGTACATGTAATCTGTTACTCCCCAACACTGAGTACACAGTATGAACTATATACATAAATGTGTACTTCTTTATACAGTGTCTGGGGTACACAGTAATGTGATGTGATTTGTTCAGGAAAATTGAACATGAACTATTAAAAAATAAATAAATAAATCCTTACCTTAGTGTGTTTCTGAAGTTGTCCGTTCAGGATGTGAATGGCGTCTACATACTGACTTTCTTTAATCTAAAAAAAGATATTTAATTGAATGTTATGACACATACACATAAAAGGTGGGATATGTAGTAACTAACTCTGACTTTAAACACGTTCAAATATATTTCTAAGAAACAGATTTAATTCATTTGAAATTTTAAAACCAACATAACAGTGTAGAAGTTGGTGCAGAAGTGTATGTTAATACTGTGTGTATAGTTTAGAACAGCTGCTTTTAGTTAGTTAGTTTATAGGCTGACTCCTCGTTAGCTGTTAGCATGTTAGCTGGGTCTCTGCGGCTAACGCGGAGCTACAGCAGCGACATTTTACCAGTTTGTAGATCGTGGCCGTGTATTCTCCGTCCTTTATGGCCGTCATGGCGCCACGCGAGCTGCTTCGGTAAGTTCAACGTGAGAATAACGCGGTTTATTCTCCCGAAATGCCCCAAAACACGGGCTTTGTTGTTAGCATCAGTCTGCTGAGGAGCATAGCTGCTGTTACCAGGCAACGGGAGCAGAGCGGAAGTGGGATTTGACTGACGTCTGTGAGAGCCAATCAAAAGAGAGAAAATGTTATCGCAAGTATTTTTGTAAATTTTTCATCGTTCCTTTATTTTCTTAAGATTTTTAGATATTATCGCCATTTCTGGATTCACCTTTTTCTTTCTGTCTTGAAGTTAGAAAAGATAAAAAAAAAATACCTGAATTAAAATTTAGCCCAACAATACTCAAAGGCAGCAAGATAAAAGTGCACTATGTAGCTTTTCTGCGAGGGGTGTCGTGATTTGCCTGGAGTGGATGTTACATGTATCAATATTGTATGTATTCACTTATTCATTCAGTGTTTTTATTTCTACAATATTCCTAGAAAAACATGCATTTGTACTGTGAGGGGTTGCCTCCCCACAGATCTGACCTGTAACTTGACCCTGCAGCGTCACTGGCTTGTCTAAATGGAGATGGAAAAGTTGAATGCCATAATTTCAGGCAAAGCAATACCTCCAGATTGTTTTAGATAAGAACGGCGGACCTCACCCCAGAAAAAGTTACATAAAATGCATCATTACGTTCAGGTTGACCTGTGTTAAAGGTTCAATATTTTCAGCCTAACTTATTCTAAGATCAAAAGAAGGCATAGTTTACCTAAATCCATGAATCATACATCGTGCAGAAACATTAATGGAAAGCCCCGGTCTGTTTATTTTTGTTCTTCTTCGTCAGTACAGAGTTTTAAAGTGCTCATTTTTGCAGGGCTCCGGACATTGCAGTGGTCAGACCAGAGGAAAGTTCTCCTGAATCCGGATGTTGGCCCCGGGCCCTGGACCACAGCTCTGGGGCCTCTCTGCACACACACACAGACACACACGACACACACACTCGTATGGGGAGAGGTGTGTTTGAGTGGAGAGAGATTTCCTTCAGTCATTTGGGAGTTTGAAACAGCAGCAGAGGAGCTCCACTCACACAGGTACCCAATTTTTTATTTACTATTTACCAACCACTTAAGAACTTCTATTTGATGCTACTCTAATTACTTCATGATTATGTATTACTTGTTTTCAAATGACTTCATACATTCTATAGACCAATTTGTTGAATTTGTTGATATATTGCAAGTTCTTGGGTCTAGTCACTAACAGAAATGATCAGCTTCAACATTTCTGGTAAAGTCCAGTGTAATCTAGAGGTTAACCTGGTGTCTTTTTAATGGAGAGGTCCACAGTCAGTACTTTGTCAGTAAATGCATGAGGTTTGGAACAGACTTTGGAGGAAGAATTGAAAAGAATTTTTGTGTTGCATGGCAATGATTAAATGTCTTTATTGTTTGTGCTCCTGAAAACAAGACTGAAAGTTCTATCACGTGGTTCATCTTTTTGTCATATCGCCCTGTATATTTTTATTCTTATATTCTTTTTCCTAGTTTAATTAAAAACAAAACAGATGTTGTGGAGCAGATAGGACTTAAAGTGCATACGGCAGATCCACAGATTCTTCCTCGGTTCGGTGTGCTGGCACCTGTAGGAAATATTAAGTATAATTTTACATCAGTTACTTGACAGTTTGTGAAGAAAGGTAGAAAATCTAAAGTTGGAAAACGCAGGAAGTATACAGAGTTTTCTTTATATGAGTCCAATCTGTTCTAGAGTTAAATTAATATTTTTGGAAATGCCAATTAAGTAACACTAGACCAGTTTCTGTTTAATGAAGAGTTATATGAATGTTTTTTAGAGTAAAGGGATTACACTTTGTAGGGTTGTCCTGATTTAGATAAACAACACACAGGTGTTTTTACATTTTATTTTAGTTCATTTAAGATGAAATTATGTACAAGACTGGTTCAAACTGGTTAACTCTGGCAAATAATCCCAACTCAAACCCCCATTTAACTTTCAAATAGTAAAACTTAACCCTTTTTGTGTTAAAACAACTCTATTTTAATATAAATATTTTACCCTGAAGTTTTTCTGCTCCAATTTTTGCTGTGTAGAGGTGAGTTCTAAAACAAAATCCCTCTACCTGTGTTATTAATTCCATCCAAAATACATGGACAGTTTCAACACAAGAAAGGCTTTTTTCTAACAGTTTAGAAGTTGATTTAACAAAATTAAAGGTGCCGTTTCTTTGAATTTGTCAAATGAAAACTATTGTGTAATTCAAACAGGTTTTGGCTCTTGCTTATATTGTGGTTGCCAAGTAATCTACCTGTATATACAGAATGTCATGTGTGCTGCCTGTGTGCAGCCACAAAGTCAAATTATGACCTTCACCAAAATTACAAAATTAGAGACTAGAGAAGAGAAGACTTTGTTTTTCTTTTTTCTTTTAAATAAAGCTTCATTATACTCATGTTCACTGTTTGAGAGCACTGAGTTTAACCTGTCACATGCACTTTAAGATGGTGTCCTGCTGGAGGGAGGTTTGGATGAAGAGTGGAATGTGAACTTCAGCTGCTGTCCTCTGGGGCACAGAGGAAACATGTCCCTGCAGGGCTGCCATAGCATAACATCACATACTGTAGCATAGCATCTCCATGGAGACAGTTGAGAGACTCTACCAAAAAAGTTACATAGTGCATCTTTAACACAGTGCATTGTGGTGCAGTGAGTTTGATGCATGCGTAATGATCCAGTTGAACATTTGTGTATTTTCTGTTGGAGATTCCTCTTCTCTCACCTGTCACTCACATTCACACACATCTGATGATGCTACGGCTCAGCTCTGTTCAGGCCTGTGTAGCTCCAGGTTGGTTGTGATTAGTTTGAGTCTTATCACACCTGGAGACACTCACACACACACACACACACACACACGTTCAAACTTTGAAATCTGTTCTGGTTCTTAAAGTACATTTTTTGTTAATTCTTTCCATAGACTTTTTGAAAAATTCAAAGACGCATTAATACCCATAACACAGTTGTATTATTATTTACATAAAATGATCATCTAGTTGCCACAGAGTTGATTAGTTCTGAGTTTTCAAACTTTTAATATTTTGTTTATACAGAAAGTAGATGGGAAAAATGAATAGACGCTTACTGTTGAACTCCACTTTAACCCATAACTCAACTTTAAACCCCCCCAACACACACACACACACACACGCACACACACACACACACACGCACACATGCACACATGCATACACATGCACACACACACACACACACACACACACACATGCACAATGCATACACACGCACACACACACACACACACACACACACACGCACACATGCACAATGCATACACATGCGCATACACATGCGCACACACACGCACACACACACGCACACATGCACAATGCATACACATGCGCACACACACGCACACACACACGCACACATGCACAATGCATACACATGCGCACACACACACACACACACACACACACACACGCACACACACACACACACGCATGTTCAGTGTTCATGTTTAATGAGGTGCTCGTCCGCACAGAGTCATGATGAGTCATGAGGTGATTGACAGGTCAGATGAGAGCCGCTTCAGGCTGTTTCTGAACCACACTGAAAAACAGCCCCAACACTCAAGTGCTGTGGACTCATTTACTTTTATAGGTTGTGTTCATTGCAGTAGTAAACAGGTGATGTTGGAGTGACTGACTCTCTGTAGCTTTTTAACACTTTACAGGCCTATAACATGTACAAACAATACATTAACATTCAAAGTCATTTTCATATCAAATCAAGTTGGTATTTAAATCTTTACATGAGTTTTCAGCAGACAGTATTTTAAAATGTGATACGTAGAGCACACAGCATTTGGATTTTTATGATGTAATTTACAACTTAAACCTGATGACACGTCGATACCTGCATCGATTTTTCCTCTGGGATAATTAAAGATTTACAATGGAAGAGAATGTATCCACCCAACAAGGTCAAACTGATCTGTCACTGTTCTGACAGGAGCAGACAGGTGCAGAGACAGAGGAGCAGACAGGTGCAGAGTCAGAGGAGAGGGCAGGTGCAGAGTCGGAGGAGAAGGCAGGTGCAGACAGGTGCAGAGTGAGAGGAGCAGACAGGAGCAGACAGGTGCAGAGACAGAGGAGCAGACAGGTGCAGAGACAGAGGAGCAGACAGGTGCAGAGTCGATGGAGAAGGCAGGTGCAGAGTCGGAGAAGAAGGCAGGTGGAGACAGGTGCAGAGTCAGAGGAGCAGAGTCAGAGTTCTCTGTGGTTTGTTTATAGTTGATAACTCTAGCCCCATAAGAACATGTTCCTTCTCTTTCTTTCTCAGGTAAAGCGGGGTAAAGATGGAGTCCAGACTGACCCTGGTGCTGATGCTGATGTTGGTTGCCGTGGTGACAGCTCAACGACGCACAGGGGGAGGAGCCAGGGCGAACTCCAGGACCTCCTCCTCTTCGTCTTCATCGACCACAGACGAGTGGGACTACAGAGCTGGCTGTGAGTCTGAGTCAGGGTCCTCATGATGTCACCACCAGAGGTGAAAAACTCAAAACAGTGACACAGGAAATAAATCTCCAACATGATCAGTGAAGACTTTTGTACAGTGTAACTTTGGTCTGGAATTAACTTAGAAAACCTTTTGCTCAAGTCGGTTCACTTTGAACAGACTGTATCTTCTGTTACACAGAGTGACATGTTTTAAACTAGCTGCAAATCTCTTTTACCAGACACTTGTTAGTGGGACATGAAGAGCTTTTCACAAATATGCCCTCAGCCCCCTGTGTCAGAACAGAACCATACAACATGGGGGGACGAGTGGAAGGGCAAAGGTTGAGGGGGGAGTAGAGACGGTTTCACTGGATCCTGGAGGCTTTAAAACAGATGGAAAAGCCTTTTTAGTTCCTTAGCTCTTGATGTGGAGGATGAGCAGAGGCTCTACTCTGAGCTCCTCAGTACTCTTTGATTGATTGATTGGTTTTTATTTTGAAGAAACAATAATCATATATACTACATATACACTGTAAACAACAGAAAAGCACATTTCTCGAAAGGAGTGGGAAGAAGAAAAACTTATATACTCTCTTCACTCTCTACACCTGTACACACACAAACACACACACAAACACACGCACGCGCACACACACTCAAACACACACACGCACACACACACACACACACACACGCACACACACACACACACACACACACACACACACACACACACACACACACACACACACACACACACACAAACACACACACGCGCACACACACTCAAACACACACACGCACACACACACACACACACACACACACACACACAGAGCTCTGCTGTAACACCACATGCTCATGCCACAACCATTTGTTTAGGAAAAAGCCTTCAGTCGACTTCAGGAGAACATAAACCTCTAGTAGAATCCATCTGGAGCACCTCAGTGGATTTGTGTGCAGTCTGAGTGAGGAGCACTGGTCCTCCTCATGGAGCCACCTGTATCCTGGACCTTGTTTCTTCACACATGACAAGAACAAGAACAGTAATCAAGGGTTAAACGACTGCAAACGTATGAAACAGAGAGCTGCTTCTGAACAGTAGAATTACACCTGAGTGAATCTGCTCTGTGTTTGCAGCTGATAAAGTGAACATGAAAAACGTGGCCAATCTGACCGAAGTCCTGGACAACTGGAAATATGACATCATAAGCCAAATGAAGAACCTCCTGCAGAATGACCATCAGAGTCTGCTCCCGGACTACGCCAGGTACAAACTCTCAATACATACACACCAGATATGTACAGAGGAACACAGGAGACGAGCACAGGAGAGGGTTACAGGAGCAGAGGAGATGGACAGAGGAGCAGAGGGTCAGAGGAGCACAGGAGCAGAGGAGAGGCTTGTTTATGTTAAGTTCAGTTATAAATTCCCAGAGTTCTTTGCGGTTTCCACATATTTCCTTTAAGAGTGAAAATAGAATCGCAGATGTGGAGTTTGTCGCCGCAGGAGCACATTAAGACCAAAGTCAAATAAACTCCAGCTCTGAGCTCGTGGTTTCTCCTTCCTCAAAAACACAAGCGTTTAGTTTGAGCTCAACGCCAAGGAAAATATGCATGGGTTTCTGAATGAGAAAATAGGACTGTTGCCATAGCGATTGACAATTAAAACAAAATATTATATCTTTTGAAAGGGAAAAAGTCCTCAAAATGTAAACTGAATACAAGATTTATTGAGCTAAAATGTGCTTTTCAACCATCTTATATATTTTGTATCATTTTGTATCATTGAATCATCCTTATAGGCTACCTCTGAAAATGCTCCATTCCACCTTGTGATGTCATCTGGTGAGAAAGAGGAAGTGGTTTTCTAAGATTTTTTAACATGCAGTGTAGGTCAAATCCTCCAGCTGAGATCATTCTGACCAGGACTAGCCCAGGATCTGGAGATGGGTCCTGATGTGTGTCACATGTTCTTTTTAGTGTTGCTGAAATACTCCACTCTCTTGCTCTGACCGATGGAGTCCTTGCGCCCTCTGCTGGTGTTTGGTGTAAAACCTGATCAGCGAGGTCTTTTTTACACAATATTTAAAATACAGTATTTTCCGCACTATAGGGCACACTTAAAAGTCTTAAATTTCATCCCAAAACAACTGTGCGCCTTATAATCCAGAACACCTTATATATGAACTTATTTGTGTGTCTTAGTACGACTTTAGTAAACTACCAAGCCACTCCACTCGCAGCATCATGGCTCCCGTTGTCAGGAGCATCAGGAGTAATACAGACTGTGATTCCTTTTAATATCAAAATGCACCTGTTAAGAAACACGCTCACAACGCCACTTTAAACTCAAGGCTGTTCTAAAGTTGAACTGCCAGGGAACAGTAACCACACTGACTTGGATAATGACGAGAGGGATGTGGACGTGCTGGACGCTGGAATCACCCAACTGTTTGAACAGTTATGACTTGTTGTGAACACAATGAACACACAAACAATTTAGCGTCTCAGACAGTATTTTTTTTATGAGTTACAATTGAACAAAGTTGAGTTGAGCTATTGTGAACGTGCCAAACAAAGTCCAACTGACCCATCTAACTGTTGTGTTTCGTTTAAAGTCCGGTGCGGTTTATATGTGAAAAAAGTTCGAAAATAGACCACTCTATGACAGTGCACCTTATTATTCAGATCCGTCAAAAGTGTGCAAAATACAGTAGTTAAATCAATAGTTTTAGGAAAATGACTTTACTTTAAAGTTGCACTATGTACACTGCACATGTCTCATGTCTTCATGTTGTGTTCAGATTTATTATTGACTTACTTGTTCTGAGATGCTTCATTCTCTTCTAGAGGAAGTTTATTTTAAGAAAACTGGTCAAGTAAAATGATCTGTCCATGCAGCAAGATCATTTCACTCATTTAAGTCATTTTCTGATAGATTTAAGTGTTTATATCATAAACTTTTATGCAGTGTAGCCTTTTGGTTGGGGGTCTATCACCTGCTTGTTTCTATGGAGATGTCATTGCTCTGCTTGGAATGTTCCACAGTTTGACATTAAACAGCTTAACTTTACAGTTAGTCAATTCCAGGTGGTTTTATAGTTCAAAAATCCCTAATAAAACAATCATTCTGTCTGTGAGTGGTTTAGTCTCCATGATGATAGGAAGGTTTAAAGCCATAGTGTGAAACATTCCAGACAAAGCAATAACATCTCCATGGAGAAAAGTTTTTGATGGACCCTCCACCAGAAAAGTTCCACAATGCGTCTTTAAATCCACTCTTCTGTTGTGTGTGTGTGTTGTTGTTGTTGTCGTCAGGATCCAGCCTCTGTCTGAAGCTCTGGACGATCTGTATAAGGAGTTTAATTCTCTGAAGTCTCTTCTGGGAGATCTCATCGAGAAGTTCACCGCCGTGGAGACCTTTATCGATGAGCTCAAGAACAAAGACGCGTCTGCACCTGCCTCTGCACCTGTCGCACCTGTCGCACCTGCTGGCACGCCCACCCGGCCCAACAGGAGGGTCATCAGGAAGAAGGCCCCGGGCAGCACCACACAATAAACACACACACACGCGCACACACTCACACACACGCACACAAGCAGAGGTGGAAAGAGGATTGCAAATTTGTAAAAAAAAAAACTTCCATGATTTTATCTTAAAGGCACATTGCGTAACTTTTCTGGTGGAGGATCAATATCTTGTCTCCATGTAGATGTTATTGCTTTGGTTTGAATTTTCCACAGTCTTATCTATGGAGACAGGTAGTTACAGGTCAGATCTGTGGAGAGGCACCTCCACTTTACAGTAAAAATATGTGTTTTTCAAGGTATTTTTTCACAATACAAATACCTAAATACCTTTGATTAAAGAAATGTTTGCTTGAGGTGTTTATGGCATACTGTAGAACATTCCGGGCAACAATAACATCTCCATGGCAACAAATCAATCAGAAAAGTTACACAGTGCACCTATAAAGTACAGTTACACGGTGAGAATAATCCTCAGTTACTTGCCTGGCATTTCTGTATTTTTTGAGTCTGGTCACTACTCCCCTCGTCGAGCAGAACCAAACATGATCGTCCAATCAGATTTGTTTGTTTCAGTGACACGTGTGAAGCAAAGGAGCTCATTGGTCACTGTCATTTTGAACAGAATCAGAGTTTAGAGTAGGGATGTCCCGATCACATTCTTTTTGCCCCCGAGTCCGAGTCCTTTGATTTTGAGTATCTGCTGATACCGAGTCCCGATCCGATACTGTTGTGTCCTGTGTGTTATATAGTGTTGGGGAGTGACAGATTACATGTACTGGAGTTACGTAATCAGAGTACAATTTATGAGTAACTGTATTCAGTTACAGTTACTGTTTCAGTGAGTGGTAATTAGATTACAGTTACTTTGTTGAAATAAATGGATTACACGGCGGTATTTTCCTGTTTTCCTGTTTCCAAACCAGTTCTAAACCTGGTCTAAACCAGGTCTAAAACTAGTTCTAAACTAGGTCTAAACAGGACTAAACCAGGACGAAATCCAGGTCTAAACCAGGACTAAAACCAGGTCTAAACTAGGTCTAAACCAGGACTAAACCAGGATTTAACAGGACTAAATCATGCCGTGCAGACGGTGTCTCCTCTTCTTCTCTCAATAATATTTCTAATTTAGTTTTGTAAAGTTTGGGCTTTTTATTTTCTTTTAGCAGACAAAACATCTTATGTGAAGATTTCCGAGTCTTTCCTTCTCTACAGCAAATCAAGTAATCCAAAGTATTCAGATTACATTACTCACTTTAAGTAATTTAATGGATTACGTTACAAACTACATTTTGGGGTATGTAATCTATAATCTGTAGGGGAATTAAAAGTCACCTTCCCAACACTGGTGTTATATATGTATATTATTTATCCGATACCTGATCAGAACATAACGTCCTAGTCTGGATCGAGTCCTCAGTCACGTGATCGGCGCCAATTTCCAATCATGTGATTGGATCGGGACAACCCTAGTTTAGAGCTTCACTCATTCAACCCTGCAGAAATCCTCCATGTTTTTCAGTCCCTTGTGAATTTTTTCCTCTCTTTTTGTTTTGATACAGACGGCCCATGTGTGTCCCTGATTGGCTAATCCACCTGTCAATCTACACGTGGGGAGAGTCACCCGTGACCAGACTCACACCTTTAAGTATTTGAGAAGTGTGAGTGTTTATTCCTGATCCCAGGCAACAAAATAATCAAAATCTAATCCATTACAAAAATGAGCCTGTTTGTATTTCATGACTTTACACTTTTGTGAACAAACTATGGTAAGTGATATGCAAATGACAATCTTTTGTGCTTAAAAGTTATACTCTCCCCTCACGAAAACATACACAAAATATGAATAACATGTAACCTCTTTTGTCAAAACCAGTATTTCTTTTTTCGATTTTGTATTTTTCTTGTCCGATGGTGCTATAGTCTCTGTTTGTGCTGTGTGCTTTCACTGTGCAGGTCACCTTTTACTATTTTTATTGTACGCTCTCATTATATAAACATTTATTTAGCAGTAAATGTAACAGTAACAGTTTAACCACAATAAACCCACAATAAACCATGAAGCAACTACATTCATTGGCCATACATCCAACTCAAATTGGGGGCAGCGAAAATTCATTTGTTCATTTGCAGATTAATACAGTGAGTTGTTGAGTCTAGTCACTAATAGAAATGATCAGGTTCAGCATTTATGAATTGACCTTTTGGAGATTTTACAGTAAAGTACAATGTAATAAACAGAAAACTCTTCTCTCGACTCTAGCCCCCGTCTGGGAGGATGATGTCAACACATTCTACAAACCCACCAGTACATGGGCTGCTTAAAGTGACTCTGTTGGACCTTTTGTTTTATCGCCATCATTTAGATAATTCTAAGATGTATCAGATCAAATGTTATGTTCAGTGTATATTTGCTCTGCTGCTTTGTCTTTTATCACTTCCTATTAAAGCTGTTAAAAAGTGCAGTTTTTAATGTATTCACCCCAACATGATTAGTGTAGTTTATCTGTTTATTTATCAAAAGCGAAACCAAAACTCAGGTAAAGAGTTTGATTTTACAGGTGTGATAGGAGCTGGGAGGGGTCTGGTGGAGCAGGGAGGTATTGGGCCAAAACAAGAGTGGCAAACTCATTTTGGTCTGGGGGCCGTATCCAACCGACTTTGATCCCAAAGGGGCCGGATCAGAAAACTCATGTCATATAAACCCCAAAAATAACAATAAGTTCAAATATTTGTGCAGAGAAACAAATCTATTACAGAAATCTTTTTTAATTGATGAATTTACAATATTATGAACAACCTGAAACTTTAAGAAGAATGTCATTTCAACAATGTTTTAACACAAACTTGGGGCAGCAGTAGATCAGTTGGTAGAGCATTCGCCCACTGATCTGAAGGTTGGTGGTTCAAAGCTCTCGACATAAACATCACAGGTTGAGTGGTCAGATCCACTGACCCACAGGTTGGCTGGTGTGATTCCAGCTCCCACAGATGAATGCTGTTGTTGTGTCCTTGGGCAAGACACTTGCCCACAGTGTCTGCATACACTGGTGTGTGAATGGGTGAGTGGTTCCTTGTTGTAAAGTGCCTTGAAGGTGGAAAAGCACTAGAGAAAAATGTGACCATTAAAAGCCCGCGTTGCATGCTGGGAAATATCTTGGTCGGAGGCAAGAAACAGGATAGCGTCAAACACAGTGCGTAACCTCGTGTATTTCTCCCCGATAATGGTAAATTCCTGCTGCATTATCGGACGCACAAATAGAAGCACGGAAGAAGGAAAATGTCTTTTTCGTATTCTGAGTGAAAAGAACCGCTAACGGTGAATTAAATGGTTTTCAAACATTCGCAGAGCAAACGTAGAAGATCCTAACAAACCGTGGACTCCAACAAGTTCAACAACACATCGAGACTCTTGGAGGTTTTCCTCTTTTCTGCTGTGAATGGCCCAGGAGTTTCCACCAAGTCATTGTGGATATCGCCCAAGTGAATATTTGTCCAGGTAGTTGGTGATTCTGACCAGAAATTTGGTTTGGTTTCAGACTCTTTTGTCGGGGTTGAAAAGGGTGATTTGTCGTCCATCGATGCTTATGACCAATTTCTGGTCAAATGGTCTTGGGTCCTCTGCCGTTAGAGTGGATAAATAACCGGGATCAATACCCTTTACGTGCTTTCTCGCTCCGTCCGTCATGTTGAATTAGTGTTTATTGCCGCCGACCAAAATACTTCCCAGCATGCAACGCGCGCTTTTGTCAACAATGAAACTCGCCTATAAGTAAAACTCTAGTCTCATTCAGTCTCAGTCCCCAGATCCAAACACTGTTTACATATTTACACTTCATGTTGCTGCAGTGACACAGGACAGATTCATGTGCACAGGTTTGTTTTTAAAGCCGTTGTTTGTTCAGAAGCACAAACGTTTCATCATCTGTACATGATATAATTTCATGTGAGGTTGTTCCAGAGGTTTATGGTTCTGCAGGAGAATGACGACTGACCAAAAGAGCTTCTGCATGTTGGAACACTTGACTCTCCTGTGGCTGTGGACCGTGTGTCTCTGCAGGGCTGAGCTGAACTGAGCACCACAAACCTTCTCAGTCTCAATCTCTAATTATGAATTCTTTTAAATAAGGTTAACATTTGATTAAGCACGTCATCAATGAGGACCAGAGGGCCAGATCACATTACACCGGTTTTAAAATCACTGCATTGGCTCCCTGTGTGTTTCAGGATCGATTTTAAAGTTCTTTTACTGGTTTTTAAATGTCTTAATGGTCTTGGGCCTTCTTATCTTTCAGAACTGCTTTTACCCAGCAGCTCCTGGTCATTCCCAAAGTCAGGACACACACTCACGGAGAGGAGGCGTTTTTCCAGAACTACGGCCCTTGTTTATGGAACTGCAGCCAGAGGAGCTTAGGGCTGCAGAGAACGTTCTTGTTTTTAAGAGCAGGCTCAAGACCCACCTTTTTAGCTCAACTTTTGAATGAAATCTTATACTTTTACTTGTTTCTATTCTACACATTCTATTATATTTATTTATTTTAGGATTTCCAGTGTTTCCTCTGTAGGAGCCTCTGCATCGGGAGCAGAGGTTGGCTGTGACTGCTGGGTCTGTCATGTGGGCTCCTGGTGGAGGGTTGGTGTTTGGGCTTCATCTCTCCCCTGGGCCCTGTGGTGGTTCCTGGTGGTGGTGGACGTCTCTCTGCTCCTGGTGTAGAAGCTCCTCTGATGGTACTTTCTCAACTGGTTCGCCTGTATTCAGCCTCACATTTTACTATGTCCGGTTATGTATTTTAGCATGTTAGTGTGTGTGTGTGAAGCGGGAGCTGAGCCGAAAGGCGAAGCTCTCAATTTACCGGTCAGTTTTCGTTCCTACTCTCACCTCTGGTCATGAGCTCTGGGTAGTGACCGAAAGGACAAGATCGCGGATACAAGCGCTTGAAATGAGTTTCCTCCGCAGGGTGGCTGGGCGCTCCCTTAGAGATAGGGTGAGGAGCTCAGTCACACGGGAGGCGCTCGGAGTAGAGCCGCTGCTCCTCCACGTCGAGAGGAGCCAGTTGAGGTGGCTCGGGCATCTGTTCCGGATGCCTCCTGGGCGCCTCCCTCCAGAGGTGTTCCGGGCATGTCCCACTGGGAGGAGGCCCTGGGGAAGACCCAGAACACACTGGAGGAACTATGTCTCTGGGCTGGCCTGGGAACACCTCGGGGTCCCCCCGGAGGAGCTGGAGGACGTGTCTGGGGTGAAGGAAGTCTGGGAGTCCCTGCTTAGACTGCTGCCCCTGCGACCCTGCCCCAGATAAGCGGAAGAAATTGGATGGATGGATGGTGTGTGTGTGAGTGTGTGTGCATGTTTGTGCGTATGTGTGTGTTTGGGTTGTTTGATTGTGTGGGGTTGGAGGTTGGGGGTGGAAATGTGGGACTGTTTTTAATCACTGTAAATCACTTTTGTGTTGCATTTTATATGGAAAGCGCTTTATAAATAAAGTTTGATTGATTGATTGGTTTAATTGAAAATAGTATTGAGGAGTGTAAATGGTTGAATTGACACAACAAACTCTCACTGAAGCATCAACACATAACACGAATGTAGTAAACAAAAATAAACTCTAAACTTCTTTTAGATTAAAAAAAAAAAAAAATATAAAATGCTCTTTACTCTTTGTTTTGATCACTGCTTTGCCCTTTTCTTGACCTGAGGCACAGCTGTGAAATATGAAGAGTGGCTTCTCTGAGCTATTTGAATCTCAAACAGAGAGATATAATCATACAACCTGCTTCATATGTGATTAGGTTTATTTTTCAGTCCAAGAATTTGTTTTCATCCTGACAGTTTGGACTGTTCCCTGCGCTCTTCCTCACAGTCACGTGATGTCAATGATTTAAACAGGGTTTGGTTTTGTCTTCCTCTCGGTGGAGGCAGGACGACAGCGCCACCTGCAGTCCTACTTCTTCAGGACAGAACCCCAGGTGTGTGAGAGGAAAAAAGACCCTCGTCCTGGTTTATAAACACCCTACATGTCCCGGAATAAAACACAACACATCAGTAAAACAGGGAGGGAGTTCAGTCCATGACAAAAGAAACATAGAACAGAATATGAGAAGGAAACAGCGAAACACGAGCAACAAAACACAAAGCAGAACAGAATCCATGTACCATTCATTCGTTTTTCAATATAAAACCAAAAATAAGAAAACAAAAAAACAACTGCTTTCTTCGTTATTTGTCTCCAAAACCAAAATGAAAAAACAGATAATGATTTGTTTTTTCAGTTTTTGATTTTGTGTTTAAATGAAGAATGGAAAAAACAGATAAAGGCCGTTTCTCGTTTACGTGACTTCCCTGACTGTGATGCCGGACTTTTGCACCACGTACGGACTGACCCAGGACTGATCCAGGTCCGGGACCAGATCGGGACCAGACCGGGGTTTTATATTGAAAAACAAATGAGCATATGATACACAGATTGAACAGGACCAACTCAAATGGTCCATTTGTGACAGTGTAAAAGAGAGAAGCACATTCTGGACTGGGACAGAGAAAAACAAACATCGACCCTGGACTAAAGAGGCAATCAAAATACGTAAACGTGTCCACGGGATGATAAACCAGAACGAGGGTCTTTTTTCCTCTCACACACCTGGGATACTGTCCTGAGGAAGTGGGACTGCAGGTGGCGTTGATGTCCTTCCTCCTCCAATAGGAAGACAGCACCAACCCTATTTAAAACAATTGAGCAACACGTCACAGAAACATCACGAGACTCTGAGGAAGAGCAGAGAGCAGAACAAACTGTCAGGATGAAAACAAACTCTTGGTCTGAAAAAATAACCTAATCACAAATGATCAAAGACCAAAAGAACCTCAGCGGACGATCGTGTTTCATATATTTGATGTCTTCTAAGTGTGTCTAATAAAACATGGACAGTGGTAAACAAAGAAAAACAACATTAAAGCGAGAGGAGTGTCCAAACTTTTGACAGGCTGTGTAAAGAATGTGACTATTTCATGACTATATCGTCCCATGGTCCCTGTACTGGTCTAAACCCCCCCGTGGTCCCTATACTGGTCTATAGTCCCCGGTGGTCCCTATACTGGTCTATAGACTCCCGTGGTCCCTATGCTGGTCTATAGTCTCCCGTGGTCCCTATACTGGTCTATAGTCTCCCGTGGTCCCTATACTGGTCTATAGTCTCCCGTGGTCCCTATACTGGTCTATAGTCCCCGGTGGTCCCTATACTGGTCTATAGTCTCCCGTGGTCCCTATACTGGTCTATAGACTCCCGTGGTCCCTATACTGGTCCCGTGGTCCTATACTGGTCTATAGTCTCCCCGTGGTCCCTATACTGGTCTATAGTCCCCCGTGGTCCCTGTACAGTCCCCCGTGGTCCCTATACGGGTCTATAGTCTCCCGTGGTCCCTATACTGGTCTATAGTCTCCCGTGGTCCCTATACTGGTCTATAGTCCCC